CTCTCCAAATTGGCGCGGAACCGGCCTCTCCTCAGCGCTTCGCCCGCGCGGCCCCCTCTGCCGCCGACCGTGCAGGAGCTGAGGGCGGGCGCTGCCTCAGTCCCGCTGTGGTGTGGGGGGAGACTGTGGAGGGCCCGAAAAAGCCAGTCCGCCGAGACCGGCCCTCGCGTTCAGGGTACATATTTGAAGGCACTCGCGTCCGGGCTGTGCATTCAATCGAGGAAATGCAGGAATGTGTCCAGAATAAATTACCATGAGATAGCTAAAGGAGTGCAAAACACGACGTGGTGAAATGGCCCTGGCCACCTTTGTAAGCTCTGATGAGCTCTGATTGACAGTTGGAGAATTTGGGTAGCAATGTACAGTACTTAACTCTGGTTTTTCTTCTCCCCTCACTTCAGAGTTTCATACACCTGAAAGAAGAGAATGTCAAGACGCAGGTAACATTATTTGTCTTGGAGACATGTTTCAAAATGAGCTGCTGCCTTTGAAGTGCATGACTTACTAATTAACTTCCTTTTAAAAAATTCTATGCAGTAGCCGTTTACAAGCTAAGCAGCATGCCCAGCCCAGCCAGCCAGACTCCGCGCAAGAAGCCCAGATAATCCAGGCCAAGAAGAGAAAAACAGCACAGGTGAGTTAAGGACAAAGAAAGGGAGGGGAGAGAGAGAGACTCCTTGCTGGAACTTAGTTTAACGATGGTCTTTTCTATTTTCCAGGATGTCAAAAAAAGAAAAGAAGACAAAGTCACCAGGAAACATCAATATGAGATAAGGGTAATTGCAGAAGTGGGCTTGGTGGTTTTGGGGAAAACAAATGCAGGAGAGGATAAATAAGAATAATGTGTTATTGCTTTGCAAAAGAAGGATTTCTCTGTCACTTTTAATGCTCCTGGAGGTCAGCAGGAAGGAGGTTTATATATGTCTGAGTCCTACTACAGCTGCAGAGTAAGTTTGCCTTGAAGCAGCTGGTTCCTTTTTGTAAATCCCTCCCTCTTGGAGCTGCCTGGTGCACCAGGGCCCGCCTAATCTGCCTGATATTCTGCTCTTTGTTCCTTCTCAGACTATAGTAGACGGTCCTAATAGCTGCTGCTTTGGCGAAAATAGGGTGTGAGATCACTGATAGCCTGGCATCCAACCCTGTGCTACCTCTTCTTCTTATGTGTTGTATAGAAAGCACAGTGATTGCCTTTAAAACCAGCATTATTGAAAGAAGAATCCTTTGCTCCCACTAGATTGTATTTTTAAGGTTTTTGCATTCAAGTATTCTAAAGTATTGGAGAAGGGCTTAACTTTGAAAGCCTTTTATTTAAAAAGGTACCTTTGCTGCCACTTCTAGAAAACTGCAGTTTCTTTTACCTTGAAAGTGATTGGTATTTTATTTATATTACAGATGTGTTTTATTAGTCCTCTTTACTAATGTCTTATATTACTAGAATTGTATTTTATTGTCTAAAACATCCTCTTTACGAAGATTGATGTGAACTAGTGGCTTATTTATAAAGTGTTAATGTCATATTAGCCAGATTGTTAACAATGTTAGCTAAAACTACAAATTGTTTAGAAACATTAGCTTTATTTATGAAAGATCCAGGACAAAAGCTAAAGTTTCTTATTGCATAAATAGATATTCTTTGTCTTTTTAAATTACAGAACTGTTGGCCACCTTTGTTATCTGGGGGAGTCAGTCCTTGCATTCTCATTGAAACACCCCACAAAGACATAGGAACAAGTGACTTCTCTAGATTTACAAGCTACAGATTTAAAAATCTTTTTATTAATCCTTCACCTTTGCCAGATTTAAGGTAAGAAAAATTTCAGCACTTTTATATCAAAGGTTAAAATTGTACTACTGACTTTACTAAAAATAGTGTCATGTATTACCATTTGCCTTCATTATAGAGAAACTTATAAAAATTGCATTCTTTACTAATAGTTAAACATGTATTTTATCTGAGAGTAGTTCTATTGCAAATGATAGGAGTAGTTAAAACATTGGTTCTGTAAAGTTATTTTCATTAGTAGACTTAGCAGAACTGGTTTTTTGTTTGTTTTTAGTTTTTTGAGACAGTCTCACTGTAGTCCAGGCTGGCTTTGAACTCAGTAATCCTCCTGCCTCAGTTTCGTGAATGCTGGGGTCACAGGCATGGATACAGTATTGGTATAGGGGCCACGAGCACTGTGTAAAAGAGACTCCAACTGTATGTACCACAGCAGCCGGGGGATCAGCCCACCACAGGAACTCATTTTCCTCCCCTAGAAACTCCTTTCCGGGATGGTTTTTTGAGAGGGTCTCACTATGTAGTTCAGACTGCCCTGGAACTCACTGTGTAGCCCAGGTTGGTCTCAAACTCACAGCGACCTCCTGCCTCAGCCTCTCAAGTGCTGGGATTACAGGCATGCTTAAGTAGAATTTAAATAATTTATCTAAAGTAGCATAAGTAAGTGGGGTGAGAGCACTCTTTTGAAATCTGCCAGTTTTAGATGATCACATTCCAAGTCACTATAGTATTTCAGGCTTCTACTTTCTCCTGCAGAAGAAATGGTTTCTAAAAATTAAAGTAAAAATATTTTTCTAACTTAAAAGCTACTTCTTTCAAATTCGAATTGAAAGTTAGATTTTAATGTCTCATTTGGATTTATGCTATGTAAACTGAGAGCTTGTATGTTGTGTAGATCACACAATGTAAATTGTGGTTATTTTTATCCCTTTCCATAGCTGGGGATGTTCCAAGGAGGTTTGGCTAAACATGTTAAAAAAGGAAAGCACGTATATTCATGACAAGAATTTTGAAGTTTTGCATTGTGACCTGGAGCCACAGATGAGGTCGATACTTCTGGACTGGCTCTTAGAGGTATTTTCCAGCACTATAAATTTCCTTTATTGCTGTATGATGGGAAAATATTTAGATATAAATTTGTTTTCTGTGCCTTCAGAGTATATTGCCCATTGCCAGCAAGCCTTCTTTCTTGGGGTACTTAACAGTAGTTGGTGGTAACCAAAGTGGGTAAGAGTAACTTTGTAAGAGTAAAATCGGGGGCTGGGGGTGCAGCTCAGTGACAGTGTATGGTCGAAGTGTGCACGTAGCAGGTGTGAGTGCCTGGGTTCAGTCTCCAGCACCAAAACAAAACAGTAAAGTCATAAGGACACAACCACTGCATATAACCTGAGCCCAGTTTGGAATTCTTGGTATGTTGGATATTGCTATGTAGTAGACACTGTTCTGGGTGGGGACGGTACTCAAATTAGTGGAATGTATAATTGACCAGGTTTTAAATACTGCCATGAAGAGAGCCTGGGCTAGGTTTCAAGTCCCTCAGAAGTCCTTTTCTGCATTACCAAAATTAAATCATTTGGAATATTTATTTCTGTGACATAAACCATGATGGGGCTTTAGGTTATCCAGAAGCCCTACCCCGCCTCCAAGTTCCATGTAGCTTTCCTTTATAATGTACCTCTGTTCCTTTCAAAAATAACACTATGAGCTGGGTGGGTGGTGCACACCTGTGATTCCAGCACTTGGGAGGCTGAGAGAGGAGGCTCACAGTGAGTTTAAGGCCAGCCTGGGCTACAAAGTGAGACCCTGTCTCAAATAACCCCTACCCCAATGCTGTACCATCAGTTTAAATGAACAATAGTAATCCTGAAATCTTATATGTCTGAGTCATCATTTTCTGTCTTGTTTAGGTGTGTTTCCTTTATTTGGATAATTATTTCTGAGGAAATGATTTTATGTTGATGACAAACTGGCCTTCTAACACTTGTATATTTGCTTTGTTGTTTACCTTTATAATAGAGATGTTGCATTCTAGGGAGAAACACTAGGCTTTTTATTAGAGTAGCAAATAGCAGAATAGATCAGAGAAGCTGTCAGAAAAGATTTTAAGGGTACCAAATGTCCCTTTGCATCAGGTCGTCTTCCTTGTTTTGACTAGATGGAAAGATTGTATTGTAATAGTACAGATAAAAAGAAAGTAGTTGGGTTTTAACTTTTCACTTTTGGCACTAGGGATTCAACACTGGGTACATGTAGTACCGCTGAGCTACATTCCAGCCAAGGTTTTGACCTTTTCTTAGTGTCTAGAGATCATGGAATAAACTGAAGCAGAACTAATGTTAATGCAAATTTTTTTCCTTTTTATCTGATTTTTATCCAGTGTTTGTTGTCCTATCTAGGGTTTTCTGTTTTTCCCTATTATTATATATACAAAATCATATAAAAATAAATCCAACACTGTTACATTCTACTTTGTCTCGATATATTCTTTTAGTCCAAGAGTTCGGGGATGGTTCAACATTTGAAAATCTATTAATTTTATCACCTTACTAGGCTGAGTGAGAAAAATCCCAAGATCCCCATGGGTACAAAAGATGTTTTTATAAAATCCAACATCCATTTTTTTATTTAAAAATACATAAGCTAAAAGATTTTTTTAAGCACAGTATTTATTAGAAACTTACGTATTTTTATCCTGTTTCCTCTTCTCCAAAAAGAATGTCACCTACTTTTATAGAGTTGAAACTTAAAGCTTTCTCTTGAAATATGGAAATAACATACTATTATTTACTGTTAATAACATTAGTGAAACATTAGGGCAATTCCCACTAAAGTCAGACTATACAAGAGACAAGACTTTATCACTGTCTCAAAAGGGCTGGGTCCAGGTGTACTAAAGCACACCTATGATCCCAGTACTTTGGAGGCTGAGGCAGGAGGATCATCATGATTTTGAGGCTAGCCTGGACTACATACTGAATTCAAAACCAGCCTGAACTACATAGCAAGACCTTATCTTAAAATGAAGAAAAAGAGGGAGAAAGGAGCCAGAGGCTTAGCTCAGCACTGGAGCACTCCCCTAATATATGGGAACCACTGTGTTCAGTCCCTAGCACCATAAAACAAAACTGTGGACAATCTATACAACTAAGATTAAAAATAAATGAGGGGGCCAGGGATTTAGCTCAGTGGTGCTGCCTGGCCAGTGCAAGGTCCTGAGTTCAATCCCCAGTACCGGGGGGTGGGGGAGAATAAATGAGGATGGTAATAGATTTGTTTATTCTCTCAGTACATTTTTGTCTCCTATTTTAGCTTTGGTATTCTAATAATCAAAGTTTGGTTTGAAAGTATTCTAAAGTCTGGCATGTTAAGAGATGACTTTGTAATTTAGAGAAATTCTAAGGGTAATATTTAAATGTTTGGATTCTTCTGTAGGTATGTGAAGTGTACACACTTCATAGGGAAACATTTTATCTTGCACAAGACTTTTTTGATAGATTTATGTTGACACAAAGGGATATAAATAAAAACATGCTTCAACTTATTGGAATTACCTCGTTATTCATTGCTTCCAAACTTGAGGTAAGTTATTCAAGTTTATATTATCACCAAACTTTTTTTTTTTTGACTGACAGATTAATCCGACAGAGTACTGTCATTTTGATAGAAATTCCTTAGGTGAATGGTTTCCTCAGTGTATTTTCTGAACATTGTGATGCAGATGGAAGGAAAAAATTACTGTAGTTTCTGAGCCTATTACATGTCTCTGGTTTAGATTCTAGGGTTACCGTGTGAGATGACCCATGACTTACTGTGCCAAACAAAATGTATCAATGCTATCTTTATGTACATGACCATGGCCCTTGGATTCACTAGAATGACCTTTGAAAACTACATAGCAAATCAAATAAAAGAAATGCTATGTTGGGTTGGAATAATGGTTTAACCAGTCTTAATTTTTGTATCCAATGGTGGCGTCATGCTAGGAAGCAACTCCTTTCTGGTCTGAGATTTTCCTTCACATGAGCACAATCGACTTTTCTTGAGTAATACACTGTGGACATCATCAGTACTTCTTACAGCTGGGATCAAGTCTTGCTAAGTCACTTTGCTACCCAGCCTGGCTCCGATGTGCACTTCTACTTCAGCCTCTCAGAGTGCTGAGTTTACAGGTGTGAGCCCCACAATCTTAAAACAAGTTGGCTTTTTTTTTTTTTTTTTTTTTTTTATACAGGGTCTTGCTGTATTTCAGAGTGGTCTCACTATATATCCCAGGCTGGTCTCGAATTTATGGCCATCCTCCTGCCTCAGCCTCAGAGTGCTGGGATTACAGGTGTGCACCACCACACCCAAAAATCTTTTTGTTGGTACTGGGGATCGAAAAGCTTTTTTGTTTTTAACTCAGCTAGTTAAGATAATCTAGTTGTTTATTGACTGAACTTTAAAGTTAATTCTAGGAAAATAAGTCTTTATGTTCAATAGTTGATAATTTAGAAGTCTACGTAGGAAAAATATCTTTTTTGTTGTTGTTGTTTTTGGTACCGGGGATCAAACTTGAGTTCTTGGGCTTGCGAGGCAGGCGGCAGAACCACTGAGCTAAATCCTCAGCCCAAAAATATCTTAAATGTAAGGTTTGTTTTAACTACATAGTGTAGTTATTTTACTAAGATTTATAATCGATTTGTGAAGTTGTCATTAAAACTGAAGCTTGTGTATGGTTTGTATATAGTTGCTTTAGTCACAATCTCAATTGTGGTTAATAAAAATTTCAATTTAAAGGAAATCTACGCTCCCAAACTCCAAGAGTTTGCTTATGTCACTGATGGTGCTTGCAGTGAGGAGGATATTGTAAGGATGGAACTCATTATATTAAAGGTAATATTATGTTTTTATTTCTTCTTGCAACTTAGTAACACAGTAGTTATGAAATGACCACCAATACTAAAATGTCAATCAAAATGAGGTTTTGGTTAGTACCATCCAGTTAAGAGGTTAATGCATCAAAGTACTAACAGTAGTGATGGCTGGGAGGGAAATTTGCTTAACCTGTAAACCTTCCGTGGTGTTATATGTGTACACACCCGGTAATAGGAAATTTTTAAAATATTTTTTATTAGTACAGGTTTGCAGTATATGATTCATTTTGGGTGATGTGTACATGTATATGCAGAGGTCTTTTTTTATTTTGACCTCCTTTCCTTCCAATCCTTCTTTCCCTCCCTACATTTCTATTTTTTTCTTTAAATTTCTTTTCCCTTCCTTCCCTCCCTTCTCCTCCCATCTTATTCCCCTTCCCTTTTGACCAAATTCTTCGTACTTCTCAATTATCTATTCCCCATTTTGCTCCTTATTTATACTTTCGGCTTCTCACACAAGAGAAGCCATGTGACATTTAAGCTTGTGTGCATGATTTATCTCACTTACTTAAGATGCATCCATTTACCTAAAAACGCCTCAAGTTTGTCCTTTATTGCAGAGTAATGCTCCACTGTATGTATTTTACTTATTTATTTATTTAAATACCATGTTTTGTCCATTCCTCTTCATGGGTATATGGGTTGTTTCTAGCGTTTAGCTGTTATGAATTGTGCTGCTATAAACATGGGTGTAACAGGCATTTTTAAATTCCATTAACAGGCTTTAAAGTGGGAACTTTGTCCTGTCACAGTCATCTCCTGGTTACATCTCTTTCTCCAAGTTGATGCTCTTAAGGATGCTCCCAAAGTTCTTCTACCTCAGTATTCTCAGGAAACCTTCATTCACATAGCCCAGGTATTGATGTTACTAAAGATACCCTAATGTCACTGTTAATTCCAGGTCTGTTCGTGTACACAGTCTTAAGTAGGCTACATAACAACTATTTTGTTATGGCATATTGAACTGAATTCTTTTAATGGACTACAGCAAAACTTTTGACACATAAAATACTGTCTCAAATATTTTCACTGTTCAGTAATTCCAGAAAACAAAGCCCTTAAATTTCTATGAGTACTCTCATCATTAGGAGTCCAAAATAGAATTAAATATCTTTTTTTGCTATAAAATAGAAAAATCTTTTTAGCCAGAAGTCTTTAGGCTTTAAAATGGTATTATTCTATCATTCATTCTTTTTATACTTGAATACAAAGGGTGCCTACTTGTTACATGTCAGTAGAATTTAAATCACCTTTTTATAATACGATTTTTAAAAACTTAAGTCAAATTTAGTTTTCCTAGGCCAGTATGTAACAAATGTTCTAACAAAGTAAAGAAGAAAGATCCCATTCTGTTGCCTACTGCTTGTAATTTTTTTTTTCTTTTAGCACTGGGGATTGAACCCAGGGAGCAATGAGCTACATCCTCAGCCCTATTCATTTAAATTTTGAGACAAGCTCTCACTAAGTTGCCCAGATTCAGTGAACTACTTGTGATCCTCCTGTCTTAGCCTCTGAGTGTGCCACAGTGCCAGGAATTACAAGCAATAATTTAAGGCTGCAGTATCTACTATGTACAAAATGGAAGAAATTTTATTCTATATAGGATGTGAAAACATTACCAATGGAATAGAAAGATTGTGGCATTTTAGAATGAAGATTAAAATTTGTGTTTTAAATCTAACAGTCATATTGTGAATGCTAAAGTGCGACAGCCAATAAATGTTGGGATACCTTCATTCTATAAAAGTTTCTAAGAAAGGCTAATTTTTTTCAGTCAGAATTCCCAGCATTTCCACAGGCAACTATACTGTTGATGAGGAGGGTAAACTGATAACATGGAAAGTTTCTAGAAATAGAAGGGGCTGGGGATTTAGTTCAGTGGTGCTGCCGCCTGCCTCACAAGTGCAAGGACCTAAGTTCGATCCCCAGTACCAAAAAAAAAAAATAGAAATATAATAGAAGTTGAACATCCCTAATCAAAAACTGAAGTGCTGTAAGCCAGGCGTGGTGGCGCACGCCTATATTCCCAGCACTTGGGAGGCTGAGGCAGGAGGATCTATGAGTTTGAGACCAGCCTGGGCTACACAGTGAGTTCCAGGTCAGTCTCAACTACATAGTGAGATCCTGTCTCAAAAAACAAAAAAAAACCAAACAACTGAAGTGCTGGGTGGGGGGTTTGGCTCAGTGGTTCTGCTTTCTGCTTCACAAGCACAAGGGCCCAAATTTGATTCCCGGTACCAAAAAAAAAAAAAATAAGAGCTCCAAAATTGGAAAATCTTTGAATACCAACATGACACATCAAGTAAGATTCTATACCTGACAGGACAGTCAGAATGTAGGTGCACTGAAGAGACTGTATAAGTCAGGCTACATTTACAGTTCATCTTACCCCCCAAGAAACCTCATATATATATGCAAATACGGCAAACATAAATGAACTTCACATTTAGACTTCCATCCCATCCCTAAGAAATCTCATGTATATGCAGATCCATCAAAATCTAAAACCCCAAACACTCCTAGCCCTGAAGATTTCTGATAAGCAAATCCCAACCTATGGTAATATTTCACTTCTCCTTTCCTGTTTATTACCTTCTAGACCAACGAGGGCCAGTATTTTGTTTCACTGGACAGGCATCACTTCAAACCTCTGAATTCTAGCCCTCTTACCCACCCCACTGCTACTTGTTCAGTTCTCTTACTGCCTAGACTATATACCATTTAGCTACTCTCATTGCTTAGAACCATGTTCCACTCTAGTCTGCCAGCCACACTGAAGTCTAAGGTATTTTTCTTGAAATGTTAACTTTCCTGACTTAAAATCTTTGAGTTTCGATTAACTACAGAATAGTGTTGATTTCCTAAAGGCCCCTTATGATCTAATCTAGATCTCTCTAGCTACCCTTTTTTGCATAAGAATTGAACTAAGAGCCAGGCTTGGTGGCACACCTGTAATCCCAGCACTTGGGAGGCTGAGGTTTCAGGATCATCACGCAAGAGTTCAAGGCCAGCCTGAACTACATACCAAGACCCTGTCTCAAAAAAATACTGGAAGGTGCTCATTTTATAATTCTCACCTCAAGTGCTGAACTACTTGCATTGCAAGTAATTTTGTTCTACTTTCATACATTCTTTACCTCCCATTTTTCCTACTTTTATCTTTTATGATTCATTTAAGGGACCAGAAGCCCTGTCTTTTCCATTCTAGATCTGGTGCCCTCCCTACTTCTCATCAGTCCACATTGCAGTAATTTTTGTCTAATCACTCTGACCTGCAGTCCCAAGACTTGACTTCTTTCAAGAGATTATCTCTGAATCCTTTGAGTTTCAGCAATTCTGGAATATGGTATATATGAGACTCCCAAAATGTTAACTGATTGACTCTAGTAATGCTGATACCCTTCTTTTTGCTTTTCCTTTGTTAGCTTTTGGATCTGTGTATTCTAGCCATTGACTCATTAGAATTTCAGTACCGAATACTGGCTGCTGCTGCCCTGTGTCATTTTACCTCCATTGAAGTAGTTAAGAAAGCTTCAGGTAAGACCTGACATTTTGCTGTCTTCCTTTTCATAACTTCTAATGGCACTGTAACTTACGAATTTTAACATACTGCCAAGCATGGGTTAAATGAAGTGATTCTCTTCCTGTTATAGTTCAGTGTATCTCACAAAAAAATAAGGCCAAATGAAACTTAAATCCATTTTAAGTGAATCAACACAGTTTGTAAGTCTGGTTTAAGAAGTATTTAAGCTAGGCATGGTGGTATATGCCTGTAATCTCAGCACTTGAGAGGCTGAGGCAGGATTGCTGTTAGTTCGAGGCCAGCTTGAACTACAGTGAGACCCTGTCTCCAAAAAAAGAGTTCTTTAGAATTTGGTAATTTCTTTATATATAGAAGATACTGGTTAAGAGGGTCTTATGTCCTTTTACCCATTAATTAAGTCATGCTATAATAGTTTCAGAGTGATCTTTTGATTTTGATTTATTGTGGCTTTTCTTTTAAATGAGTCTAAGTAGAAAGAAATACTTAATATGTAAGACAATTAGATATAAGACAGTTTCTGATGTAGTCTTCACGTTTTTCTTAAATCCAGGTTTGGAATGGGACAATATCTCAGAATGTGTAGACTGGATGGTGCCTTTTGTCAGTGTAGTAAAAAGTGCTAGTCCGGTGAAGCTGAAGACTTTTAAGAAGATACCTATGGAAGACAGACATAATATCCAGACACATACAAATTATTTGGCCATGCTGGTATGTTTTTGTTTCATCAGGCTCTCTAGAAAGTCCTAAAACTGATAGTATGGAAATACCACTTCCTTCAGTGAAGGATTATGTAAGGGGGAAATAATGGGCACAGTTTTCAAAAATGGAGAAAAAAAAATTTGAAATCAAGTTAAAATTTGAATTATCTCAAGATTAATGCTAATAGTCTAGGTAAGAGTTTAAAACATATATATATATTCCAGGTAGTTCACATTGAACTTTCAGAATGAATTCAGAGTTGCAAGGATGTAGATCATTACATTAGGTCTGAATAGTCTAAAGTAGACAGGTAAAAGTCTGGTGTGACTTTGTTTTACTGTATCATTATTTTATCGTGTTAATTGCTGTATGATTTCTTCACATTTATAGGATGAAGTCAGTTATGTAAACACCTTCAGAAAAGGGGGACAGCTGTCACCAGTTTGCAATGGAGGCATTATGACACCACCAAAGAGCACAGAAAAACCACCAGGAAAGCACTAAAGATGTCAGCTAAGCAAACAAGTTCAAATTGAGCAATACTATGTTGAATCTACTAAAGTTTTACAGGAAAACAGCTTTGATTACCATTGCCAATTCAGATGTTACACTGCCATACTTTGATTTTTAGAAAAAAACTTTAAAATTGGCGCTAAATATACTTCCTATTAGCTGTTAAAGAAACAGCAGGACATGTTTACATAGATGACTTCATTTTCAAGGTGACTGGACAGAAGCCAACTGTGATTTATGCCATGGAAACTTTTAATGCAGTGTTATGTGTCTTGATAAACTGGGAACTTTATCATTGGTGTTTCAGACTAGGTAAGTGCTACCTTAAAGGGTACATTAAGTGATACAGTACTTTGAATCTAGCTTTTAGATTCTTAAAATTCCTATACTCTAGTGCAATTTGGTTTTTGAAAATAAAACTTAAATTTGTTTACAAAGATTTAGTTTTGTAATAAGGTGACTAATTTATCTAAAGCTGTTGTAGGAAGCTATTATAAAACTTGAATTTTTACAAATGGTGAAATTAAATCTGTTTTTAGATCGTTTATTTGCTTTGCCATAATACTTTTTAATCAGTAAGGTGTCGATAACACGATGTTGAAACTGCTCTGAACAGTGGGAGTACCAAAGAAATTACAGCAGGATTGGTGCCGTGGCTCCTATTCGGGGCTCTGACACAGGTCGCTTTACAATGGCCTTTCTGTATATCACAATTTGGGTGAAAAACTTAAGTACCTTTTCAAACTGTTTATACAAAACAGTCACTTTATTGCTCTTAAGCTATCCCTATGTTTTTGTTTTTTGATTTTTGTTTTTTTTTAGCATGACTAAGGCTTTATTTATGTTTCCAAAATATTAAAAGTCCGTTTTAAATTCCTACATTATGAGATGAAGACAGTGTCAAAATTAACATTTGACCTGACTTTCTATTTTCTTATGGCAGAAAAATATTAAATGTATACTGACTCCTAAAAATCTATTTATTAAAATAAAACTTGACATAGAACTTGCTGTATATATGCTAATTCTACATATTTTAAATCAGCTTTTTTTAGATAAATTCAGTCTCAAAAAGTATATTTAATTAGAAAGTTACACCAGACTGCTAGTTGTTACCAGACCTGTAGATCTCTTCTACCTTTGAAGAAATTGTAATTAAAGCTATTGTTAGTCTTCTCTATAGTTTGTTTTTAAATTAATGTTTCAGTATTTTGTCTGAAAAGAAAACACCACTAAGTGTATATATATATGTATTATATAAACAATTTTAATACTATTTTTAGCCCATTGTTTAAAAATAAACGCTACACATTTTTAACTGCTTAAAAGTAAAGTTTTGCCATTGCTTGAAGAAACTTTTTTTTCCTTCTCTGTGCCGCCAGCTGTAACACTTCTTCTGGGTTGCTTGCATTCAATTCTGTCTGTCCAATGGCTTTGATCTTTTCAAAACAGAAAAGTGAAATTACTGGAGATCTAGTAAAGAATTAAGTCTCAGAAGTATATACAATATAAAGCTACTTACCTGCTAATAATGTTACCGATTAACTGCATCTCTAATTGTAAAACCTAAGAACTGTGGAAAAAAGTAACTGATTTAAGCTGCTCTTAAGGAAAATATGAAATGCTGAACTATGATTTGTGGAATCACGTTTAGTCACATTTTACTACATTGGGTAAATACAGACAGGTATGTTTCCATGAGTGAAAAATACTTGTAAGCTTTCCTAGGTGATCTGACAGTTTTACAGGTGACATGTTAAGGCTCCAAAAAGTTGCCTATAAAAAAAAAAAATCACAATTTAAATTTCAGGTCTTTACTTTTTCTGTTTTATAAAACAGTGGTAGCTCCGGCTGGCCTCAAACTTCTGCCTCAGCCTCCCAAGTGCTGGAATTACACGGATACACCGCCAGGCCTGGCTAGAGTCTTGCCTTTTTAAAATTTTTGTTAGTACATGTTTGTAGTACATCATGGTTACATTTTCCATGAGGAGTTGGTACACGCATCTAACATCAATTCTTTTTTCATTCCCTCCCCCTTCCCTACTCTATCTTTTGGTTCTCTTTTCCCATTTGAAAATGAACTCCCTATTCTAACATGCAAAAATAGCTGCTTAGCACTAAAAAGGTATCATGGCTTGCTTTTCATAATTAGAACGTTTTTCACTATTAAATAGCCAGTTTTCTGCTATAGAATGTTTAAATGAGAACAGTTTAGGACCCAAAAATCTACACACATTTTTTTTTTCAAATACAAAAACAACAATTAGAACTCCTTTAAATAGGACTGTTCTGTACATGGCTATAAAATCCAAAGTTTAAGACAGGTTGAAGTGGAAATCTGATAGTTGTGAGAAATAACAACACCCATGTGGGGACCAGTCAAAACCATGAGTATATGGGATTAACCAGGAAGGATGGGAGGGGGTGTGATCAGAAAATAACCTAAGGGTTAACTTCTTGGGAAAACTAAGTTAAAAGTGGGCAAGAGAGACCACAAGAAAAAAAGGAAGGGGCTGGGGACCTGCCTCGTGAGCACAAGGTCCCAAGTTCAATCCCCAGTACCAAAAAAAGAAAAAGGAAGGTCAGGGAAAAGAATAAAATAAAAGTGATTTCAGGGAAGCCACAGGGATAAAAAAATTTCAAGGCGGCAAGAAATTAAAAGAGTAAGAAAAGCATCCATTGGCTTTTGCATTCGGTAACCTGAGAAAATGAAAAGTGACTGCGAAAGTCAGACTACTGGGCTGAACTCAAAACACCAAACGGTGAGAGGTCTGGAGGTGGCAGCACAAAGGTTTTTATTAAAGATGAAGGGATTCACAGACTCTGCAAGAGGCTGACAGTATAGGCAAAGGTATGACTAAAATTTTGATCTCAGAGGAGACAGAATCAGAAGCTTAAAAATTTGCCTTTAAAGCTAGGTGGTGGTGCATGGTGGTGGAGCATGCCTGTAATCCCAGCACTTGGGAGGCTGAGGCAGGAGGATTGCTGTGAGTTTGAAACCAGCCTGAGCTACACAGTGAGTTCCAGGTCAGTCTCAACTACATAGTGAGACCCTGTCTCAAAAAAAAAAAAAAAAAATGCCTTTGAAGAGATACTAGTAACCTCTTACTGACCTGAAGAGTGGGTTGTTTTCAAGGTAGAAAGCAGTGACTTGATACACTTTCCAGGGCTATAACTCCCATAAGGACTAGGCTAGGTGGTCTTTTTCTGGGCTATCCCAAGCATACAAGACCTAAGGAAATTACTGAAAATGGAAAAAGTAGAGGGCGGGGACTTAACACGGAATGTCTAAAATCCCTGGGAAAAACAGCTTACTAAATCACAGGTAAAACAATTTAAAAAGGTGAGAAGGGATCAAATGTCAGAATCTATCGTTCAGTATTGGCATGTTGGACAGTTGTAGGACTTTTTCCAAGACTGTGACTAAGACTTCCAAAACAGGTAAACAAAAATCCACAAGATGCTGAAATATTCACCAAAGAATAATTGTGGCAGTCAACCACTGTTAGCTGAAGTTCTCAAAACCTGGCTCCTCAGACTACCTACAGAGCCTCACAGACTGAGTGACAATCAGGCCTGCCTAGCATACACACATTGGTATTGCTGCTCTCAGGACGAGTAGGGAAGACGAGAGGGACTGACTGACTGGCCACAGGCATCAATACTGCACTCATCGCGGCTATGGCTATAGGTGGCTGGTGGAGAGGTGATAATCAGTACGAATGAGACGGCAAAAGCCAGTGAACACAGGCGTGATGGCTAAGTTCCACGTGCGGACAAGCCAGCCAGTTTAGATACAATACAAGGTAAGTTTCAAAGAACGGGCTTAAGGACAATGACACAAGTGAAAATGTTTAGAAACGGGGTCTGGGGATTTAGCTCGGTGGTTTAGCCACCTGCCTTGCAAATGAAAGGGTCTAAGTTTGATCCCCAGTACCAGAATAAAAAGAAAAAAAAAATGGTAAAGGAGAGCTGAGGAAGTTTTGACTGCCTTGAGACTCCAGGTAGACTAAAAATGGAAGAATGAGTAGCCTCCCATCAAGGGCCAAGTTCACGGTTATTTCTTTAAAATGTGCCATCATTGACCTGTTTCCTTAACAGGCAAACAAGCCCAAGTGCAAAGCTCTAGTCCAAAGCATATCTGCAGCGAGTGATCACTAACTCGGCAAATGTTAGGTAGTCTATATAAAAGTTAAAATGTTTCGGCACGTAAGTCAAACTTAAATAATGCACCTACTGGGAACCTACATGCCAGGCACTACTCTAGTTACCAACTACGAGCAAATCAATTCCTTGTCCTCACAGGGAAACATCACAGGGGTGTGCAGGGTGGGGGCACATTTTAGGATGGTCAGGAAAGGATGTCTCTGCCTGTCTGCCCTCTCCTGAGAGATACCTAAGGGAAACTGAATCTGGAAAAGACTCAATGTCTCCTAATTAGGGGATGAATGTTCTTGACATGTTCAAACCCCATGAGGGATACTGGCACAGCAGAAGTTAACAAGGGGTAGGAAGTCAGATGGGCAAGCCACAGGCCAAGTCTTAGTGTGGCTTTGCAACCATCTAAGAACTTTTGTGAGATGAGAAACCATTTGAAGATTTGGAGCAGAGAAATAACAGTGTTTTAAAGTAAAATGGAATAGCTAATAGCTGGGTGTGGTGGTGCACGCCATAAGCCCAGCACTTGGGAAGCTGAGGCAGGAGGATTGCTGTGAGTTCGAGATCAGCCTACACAGTGAGTTCCAGGTCAGTCTCCACTACACAGTGAGAACCTGTCTCAATAAACAACAAAAAATGGAATACCTCATACTATCAAAAAAGGAACATTTAAAAAACACTGAAGGGCCAGGAATTTGGCTCAGTGGTTCCACTGCCTGCCTCACTAGCTCAAAGACATGAGTTTGATCCCCGGTACCAAAATAAATACTGATAACCAAATTCTGGCAGTAACTGGGCACACAGTCTTTTGTTGTTACAAATGCTAAGTGCTTAAAATCTGGAAACTTAAGTACATCGCTGAAGAAAAGACATAAAGTAACTTACCGCAATTTGTCTTTTATCTGTTTCTCCTCTTTTATGATGAAGATCTGAATGAATCAGTTAAGAATAATGAATCTGATCTCAGGATAGAACGGAGGACAGTTTTAAAATTTTTGGGTTTTTTTTTGGTACCAGGGATCGAACTTGAGTCCATGCACTTGCAAGGCAGGCGGCAGCACCACTGAGCTAAATCCCCAGCCCAGTTTGTAAATTTTGATTTGAAAAATACATAGTATGCTGAACTTTAATTTGCAGAAATGAACTGTTATAAAATTACAAACGTGGATGGAAGGATACAAGTCAAGTATTCCAAGATGGTGACATCCCAAATGTAGTCATAGTAGGAGTCCATGGCATCATGACTGAAAAAGAGAATTCTGTTACTACTTTCTTAAGCAGAAAACCCTCATTTATTAAAAAACCATTTATACCTGTTTTGTTCCTGCAGTGACTTAAAAGCTGTTTTGTAGTCAATTTCTCTGAGGAACTGACATAAAATTGCCACCTACCAAAAAAAAAGAAAGAAAATGAATGGTTTTGTGTAATAGTGACTCTCCTGGTTTGGAGGATAATCTTTAATTATTCTTGTTTTGTTTTGGTGTTTTCAGAGAGGGTCTAGTGCTCTATAGTCCACACTGTCCTTGCCTTCACTATATAACCCAGGCTAGCCTCAAAGTTCTGTCAATCCTCCTGTCTCAGCCTCCCAAGTGCAGGAATTACAGGTGTGCAACACTATCCCTTGCAACTTTTATTCTTATATAAAGAATATTTTAAGAAGCCTTGCAGGCCATTCCAAATATAGTTATGGATTCCATCCAATTTTAATTTCAAAAACCTTTACCCAAGTCTCACCAGTATTTTCTTCATCTGGGACATAAACCATAAATTTTTAGAGCTTTGCTTATCTGAATGAGAAGCTGGTAAAAAGCCAGTTCAGAAAACTGAACTAAGAGGATAGAAAACCACTGAGTGAAAGTGTCAGGACATTCAAAACATGCAATTAAACCTTAAAGCACACAATTCAGCTTTTAGCATATTCACAAAACTGTACAACCATCGCCACTATTTGATTCGAAAACATTTTCATTACC